CCGCATCCCCCAGCCCCAGCGTCGGGCAACCGGCAGCATCCTTCACCCCAAGGAGAGGATAAGGACTTGCTCAGGGGTTGGTGGGATTTTATTTTTTTGGAGGGTGGGGGCAGGGGGAACCGCATTGAAAGCGAGAGGGCGGTGGAAGATAATCCCCCAACGCCGTGGCGAGGTGTCCCACCTGTGATTTGTCCATAGCGTTGCTGGCGCCAGCCCCAGCGTCGGGCAACCGGCAGCATCCTTCACCCCAAGGAGAGGATAAGGACTTGCTCAGGGGTTGGTGGGATTTTATTTTTTTGGAGGGTGGGGGCAGGGGGAACCGCATTGAAAGCGAGAGGGCGGTGGAAGATAATCCCCCAACGCCGTGGCGAGGTGTCCCACCTGTGATTTGTCCATAGCGTTGCTGGCGAAGGAAGAGTTGGCGGTGGCGTGTCTGTCCCCCGCCCCAAAACTGGGCTTTCTAGCCCCAAATCAGCCTTTGGATGGAGAAGGGAGCAGAGGCGGCAGCACCTGGTCCCACGGGGAAAGAGGAGATGGGCGGCTCCGGGTGCATCCGTACAGGTGAGAAATTGGGGCTTTGCCTTCGTTTCACCTCGCTAACGGGTGAGGATCGTACCGGTGGGGGTGGTCCTTTGGAAATCATCCCTCCGCGGTCATCCTCCACCCCACGGCTCCTCCTCGGTCCCTGGAAACAGTCGCCGATGTGTCCGGTACCGTCCTATCCCAGGGCAAACCCTAACTCAGTCTCCATCTAACCCTGTAGGAGACGGGATGCGGATGGAGGATGAAGGATGCCGTGCGGAGCAGGGATGTCCTGACGGAGCCAAAAAGGGTGAAACGGGGGTAAAATCCAAAGGGAATAACCATGGGAGACCTTGGGAGAGCGACTGGGGGACAGAGGGATGCCCGGGGATGGAGCAGAAGGACAAATTCACCCGTGGAGAAGGGGCTGGGCAGCTCTTTGGAGAAGAAAGTCTCTACGAATGTTCCTGCTGCAAGAAATGCTTCCAGGAGAGGTCAGAGCTCATTTGCCACCAGAGGTTGCACGGAGGAGGAAAGACTTTTAAATGCCAAGAGTGCGGAAAGGAGTTCGGGAAGAGTTTGGACCTCAGTTCCCATCAGAAAAGCCACATGGTGGAAAAACCCTACCAGTGCTCGACCTGCGAGAAGTTCTTCAAGGACCGGTCCACCCTCATCAGGCACGAGCGAGTGCACACGGGAGAGAAACCCTACCAATGCCACGAGTGCGGGAAGAGATTTACCCGCAGCTCGGACATCGTCGTCCATCAGCGGATTCATACGGGGGAGAAACCCTTCGAATGCTCGGAGTGCGGGAAGAGGTTCAGCCAACGCTCCAACCTCTTCACCCATCAGGTCGTACACACCGGGGAGAAACCCTTCGCCTGCCACGAATGCGGGAAAACCTTCGCCCGCAGATCGGAGCTTACCATCCATCAGCGAACGCACACCGAGGAGAAGCCCTACCAGTGCTCCCAGTGTGAAAAATCTTTCCGGGGAAGGTACGGACTCTTCAGGCACGAGCGGTTGCACACGGGGGAAAAACCCTACCAGTGCTCTGAGTGCGGCAAGAGCTTCGGTCAGAGCGGGGACCTTATCACCCACCAACGCTTCCACACGGGAGAGAAGCCCTACCACTGCTCCGAGTGCGGGAAGTTCTTCTGTAATAAATCCAGCCTCGTTAAACACCAGAAATGGCATTCGGGGGAGAAGCCCTACAAGTGCCACGAGTGCGGGAAGAGTTTCGGGCAAAGCTCGGACCTCATCGCTCACCAGCGGACCCACACGGGCGAGAAGCCCTACCCCTGTGCCGAATGCGGGAAGAGGTTCACCAGGAAATCCAGCCTCATCGTCCATCAGCGGGGACACAGAGGATGGAGAACGGGAGAACGCTCAAAATGTGGGAAGAGCTCAGAGGAAGACTCCGGCACTGACGCTCCCGGAACCGTGGGTGTGGGAGATGGCTCGGCCCCATGCACTGAGTGTGCAAAGCCCCTCGAGGAGGCATCAAGCCTTCTTGATCGGCAGCGGTGATGCAGAGGAGAAAAAAAAAACCAAACACAAACCCTCCCAAGTGCCTGGAAGAGGAGAAATGGCTCGGTTTGGCTCGGCCAGGCTTGGCTTGGCTTGGCTCAACTTGGCTGGGCTTGGCTCGGCTCAGCCTGGCTTGGCTTGGCTTAGTTAGGCTTGGCTTGGCTTGACTTGTCTTGACTTGGCTTGGCTCAGCCTGGCTTGGCTCGGCTTGGCTTAGTTAGGCTTGGCTTGACTTGACTTGTCTTGTCTTGGCTTGTCTTGACTTGGCTTGGCTTGGCTTGTCTTGTCTTGGCTCAGCTCAGCTTGACTTGGCTTGGCTGGGCTTGGCTTGGCACCAAGGTCACACAAGACGACAAGAAACGAGCGCAGCGAGGGACATCCTCCCGTGTGAGATTTCACCTTTTTTTGTGTGTGTGTGAATCGGAGAC